TTATCACATAGAAAAATTTAAATATTACCGCAGAATCAGTTGGTAAGTGTTCATCCCACTTATTGCCAAGGTATGATGAACCAGAATTCCATTGATAATCAGCAATACAAGATCCCCTTGCCAGTTCTTAAATGATATAAAGAAAATTATATTTAAAGGTAAAAAGTATATGTGGGATGTTATTAAGGAAATTAGATTTTAGTGATTATTGTTATAATAAAGCGAAGGACCCTGTAGATAAGGAGTTATGAATGGAATACAAGATGAATTTATAGTTGACTACATCTATACAGCAACAAAGCCCTTAACAGACCTCCATCTGAAATCTTTAGCAAGAACAGCTAGCTTCTTATGCAGCTAGAACTGTCCCATCCCAATTGATTCAATACTCAATTTGAAATGTTTGCCTCAACTGCTCTACCGGAGAGCTCTACTCCAAATGGTATAGCCCATATGTGCTCCAGACATAATACTCAAACGATTTTGACTCTATTGTTTTGATTTATTAAAAATATTTCAAATCCAAAAACGTCATTATTATCCACACACTCCAACAGAGCCCTTCTATCGCTCACTTTAGCTTCTAACCCTTGTATTCGTATTGTTAGTTTTGTTTGTTTCCAAAATAAAATCAGTCTATATTTATATTAAAATAACCACAATAACAATATATGGGTTAAAATTAGGTCTGGAGAGAAGATTTAAATCAGGTATGATATTGTTTGAAATGAAGAGAAAACTGTGGAGTAAAGTTATTATTTTGTTGTAATTTAAATAATACGACTATTATTTGCCAAAAAACTAATTCATTTATGAGGACGGATTCTCTGTTATTGAGATTTGATTGAATTCTCCTATAATAAAAAAAATTGATTGAACAAAAATTTCGACAGTCACACTACAACGTGTAAATAGGAACTATTAAATAAAAGTGTAACAAGCACTAGGTTTCTACAAATAAATAAAAATAAGCTATTAAAACAAACAAAATTTTATAGAAACTTATCTATAAAATTCAAGGATTTATCTTAACAGATAGTTAAGCATTATTTAAAATAATAGTGTCCTGGAAATTTCATCAAATATTTCCAGCAGTTTTTTAACACGTTAACCAACAGAGAACAGAGAGAATCATTTATTTTGTTAGGCCATGTAACACCTGAAATTATATTTAGTTAAACTCACAAAACAATGGACTCACAAAACAAAGCCAAGCCTTACTCTGGTATTATTTGACTGACAATCGAGACTCTAACTAATGATTGAATAACAGTCGAAAATCGTAGTAATTAATACGATAGTTCTGAAAACCGTCAAACATATGAATAAAGTCGCCCTTTTGCTAAAAAAAGCACGCACATATTTTATCCGGAGGACGACACAGATTGACGGTCAGTTATCCTCAAAAAGAGGAAAGCGACTTTTCTTTCTTTCTTTGGAAATAACTAAGCTGAAAATTCTTTGCCAAAAATTCCTGAACACATCCATAATCCAAAACCTTCAACAAGACATCTTAGTCTTTATTAAATACACAGTATATTTTCTGAATCGTTAGGTACGATTTTAAGAACATATTGAGGTCGCAATGTTGCTTCTCTAGGGTTTTGTATCTTAATATACTACGAAACTTACGAATATATATCATGCAGTATGTTTGTTAAGGACTGAATTAATAATATGTGACAAAAAATGAAAATGATGGTTTTGTTAAATAAAAGAAACTGAATGCTTTCATTCTAAGTACGTACAATCTATGCATTATATAGCAGAAAAAAATAAATTATTAAAACTTTTATTAATTCTCAGCGAAAAAAAAGAGTTTAAATCATTGTTAAATCAACTTTTGAGGAAACGATAGAGATGAAGCATAACTAAATTTAAAAATAGGTAAATAGATTGAGTTTCTAGTGTTCTGAGACATATAATTAAATTTAAAGCATTCATTAATATCATTATAATCAGCAAACGACCATTAGACAACAAATTTTAATATAGTAAGTTATTCTGAACAACTTTTTCTGCTATACTATATGGTAATTTAGCCATTTTTAAGATATAAGAATATAAAGTTGGTACCTCTACTTATTGTTACAAGTCGTTTGTGTTAAGGGACACTATATGTGAAACAGAATATTGTTGTCACGATTCTGATTTTTCGGGCGTGCCAATGGATATAGTAGAGTTAAGTATTTCGTGCCATTTTTTCCTTTACTCTATATGGCAATTCAATTTAGTTTTTAAAATATCGGGCTTGTATGTTGGACAGTTTTACATTAAAAGCAGATAGCACATCTACTAGTTGTTACCAGTTACTTGTGCAAATTACATAGAAATTTAATATATATGTACTCAATAAAAATTCAATGTAAAAACTCCACAATTCTAAACATCGAAAAGTAAGCTGTATCAGCATACTGCGTAAAGGAAAAACAATATAACTGAGTACATACTTACTAATATCCGTTATTAAATGGACGTATCCATAAATCAGAATTAAACTCAATTATTTTTTATTTTAAATGAATTATTCAAGCAACTAACAATGAGTTGCCAAAAAATGTGTGTAATATATGTATATCATTCATCAACTTATGACTGACGAAACTACTGTCGCGTTATTTACGCTAGTTTAGCTAGCATCTATTTTTAGTACACATTTAACTGCTTAGTTTTGATAACAATTTTAAATTAGTATAATTTTGAATATATGTATTGAATTTAATTAATTTAAGATATTACATGTATGTTTGTTGTACCAGTTAATTTATATACATCAGAACATGTAACTAGTGAATGTTGTATAACAGAACAACTATGTATAACTAATTAGTTATTAAATTTTTATCGTCCTGTTATAAATCCCATGATATAATACAAAGAAATAAAATATATTCATAATTAAAAATTTTATACCTTTTATGCGTTGTACTAAATACTCCTGATTACTACTAACTTCCAAAAATGGTACAATCAATGGGAGAATTGGAATATTTTGATTACAAAATTGTTGATTTTCTGCAGTTTTCTTTAAACGTTCCAATCCTATGTTACCAATTTGTATCTCTATAATGCCACGATTCTTTAACGTTGCATTAATATTATCAATTTCCCTGACTAAACGTTCCAAAATAGTTGTAGACATCCACTAAAATATATAAATTAATAACAATAAATTAAAAATAAAAAAAGAAACACCATACCCTGCGTAAACAAGCGACATATTGAGATAATTTAGCTGATGATATTTTCTTAATAACTTCAGAATTGCTGTCAGTGATATGATAGCCGCCTTCTTCATTTGTTGACGATTTTTGTGTTGTGGCTAAAAGCATTTGAAAATAAAAATATTTTACTAAAATACGATAGAGGAAGTTATTAATAAATTTTACTTGGTAGTGGCGCTAATTGATATATTGAAGTTTTAAGTGTATGTGCAGCGCTATGACAATAATTCCAGAATGCGTTTTTTACGTTACTATTGTGATAAAGTCCAGATTGGTCCGGCGTTTCATTCAAAGTCTCTAGTTCTGAAGTTTCTCTGCAACACAAAAACTTATTACCTTGAATAAATAAAATAAAAACCAGTAAATATTTTACTTTAAGTATTTCTCTAGACTTTCTTCATTTTCAATTAAATCTTCGCGCGTATAACGATAAGGTGATGCATAAGCGCTGTTATTGCTATAGTTGCTATTCTCAAGAGTATTAGGATTAGAAGAATTGATAAACGATTGATATTGCATTTGCTGCGAACTGAGATTTTGATGTATTGGAGAACCTTGCCTTCTGCTATGCAAATTAGACGTCGCTAAATTGCGTGCTATAATAAAATTAACAATATTATCATTTTATCACAACATAAATATATTTAGTTTTATAATACAATCATTAAAGGATGAATGCCAGCTAAGGAAACTGCTGTCAATTGTTATTTCATTGCCATTATATTTCAAATTATCATTTATTTCATCTAATTCCCCAACAACAAATGATTTATCTAAATGAAAAATATTAATTTTAGGAAATCAAATTATTTGAATTAATGTAGCCTAAACATACCATTTTCATTAAATTGTAACAAACGTTGTTGTTCCATTGTCCCACGAAGAGGCACAGTCGATAATATATAATATAAATATTTTCCCACGCAAATGATACCGCTTATGGCTACATATGTTGTTAAGGCATACTCAACCCAATACCATTTAGAACAAGCACGCGGACATTTAAATGATAAATCATAAAACAAAAGTGCAAATAATATTACATAGATGACGCTCCATTTAAGGCAATAATTGGCAGATTTAGCGCGCATTCGTAAATCCAATCCATCTTGTAACATACCACTTTTTTTTACTGGGGAACTGAAAAATTTATTTTAATAAAAATGAATGAAAAAAAAATTAATTATTATTAACCTCAATTCTTTTGTAACATTATTTTTTGTATATTTGTGAGATCCTGTGAGACTTCCACGCGAACGTAAGACCGGCGTATTCGGTTTTAATACAGGAAATAGTTTATCTGTGGTCTTAAACATGTTGCACTAACGATACAAAAGTGTTATATAGAATTTAATTTGCTCTATGCATATATATGTGATTTAATTTTTAATTTATTTAAAACTTCATGACAATATAATATTTTATTTTGAACTTCTTTTTAATGCAATTGAAAATAATGTCAGTAGCACGCACTTTTTCGAAAAATTTAGTGTTACCAAGTTTTTCATGACATTTCAGTTCACTAATTGAACATACTCTGTCGAACAGTGAAATCTACGCTTATAGCGTTTGGTTTGAATTTATTAATAAAATACATATATTATCTCATAAACATTTATTTATTAATAGACTTTCAAATACTTATATTAAGAATAGTGTTTACGCATCTAATAATGTGGTAATTAAATTAAAGATACTCCAGTATTATTTTATAAAATTAAAATTAAAATAATAACTTTACAACACTGAACATAATATAATTTGCGTATTTGGTTTAGTGCGGGAAACTACGAAACGTTTGAGTCAGCAGTAAGTTAATGTTTATCTGCAAGAAAAGGAACTAAAATAATGGCGACTCTTTCTGAACGCAATTTAGAAAAGTGGGATAATCTAAGGTAAATTTATTAAATATCTACTACAAATATTCTGAACTTAATGTATTACAGCGATTTCGATAAACTGGAATTTTTATTTAATCCACTCAACCCACCGGATTGTATATTTGTAGTTGGAATATCAGAAAAAGAAATACAGCACATACCATGCCATAAACGAGTGTTGATGGATGTATCTTTAGTTTTTGCTACAATGTTTGATGGAAAATACTTGGAATCTGAGTCTAATTGCGAAATTCGCTTAGATGATGTAGAACCAATTGCATTCGAACAATTTAAAAATTTTATTTATTACGGCAATAAGCCAATTTTAAACTCTCTAAATGATTGTCTGCAGTTGATTTATTTAAGCCAGAAATATGAGATTAATTCACTCCTAAACGAGTGTCTTGTTACAATAAAGGAGAGGATGAAATATATAACCGTTTTGAATTTGGCAGAATTTTTTAATTCTCCACTTTTTATTACTCACCGCGCTTTGATTCAGTCAATAAATTTAATGAGGGAGAACAATGATTTGCTTCGAACTTCTCAGATATATAATATACCTGCACCAAGATTTATAATGCTTATGGACAAACTTTCATCTCTACTTTCTAAATCAGAACTTTTCCAAATGGTTGAAAATTACATTGAAAAAAATTATATGTCGCAACATGTGAATAATATGAATTTAAATAATGGAAAGTTATCGTATTCAGTACAGCATATAATTACTACGCTGTTGTCAAAAATAAATATTTTAAATATGAGCGCAAAAGAATTCTGCGCTGGGCCATTGCACTGTTCCTTTATAGATCCGTCCACAAAGCTGAGTCTGCTTGTGTCGATAAGCAAAGGTGTATTGGAAAAGTATACAATAAGGACAGAAATGATAAAATCAATGTTGTGTGGTGAGTCCAATTAATTTCTGTATTAAAAAAATTAATAAAAATTTGAAGCATACTTTTGAATTTTTTTATTTTTATTAGCAAAGGTTTTTTAAAAACAACTGAACTTTTAATCCACTTCATTGTAAATTTCCTTGCTTGTGTTAAAAACATTAGATAAATTGCTTTACATAAGTGTCATGTATAAATGTGTAATATATATTTATTATAAACATTCATATACATATAGACATTCATATATCATATATACATTCATATTAAGTTCGTTAATGTGTTCGAAATGTAGGAGATATCACAAAACATAAATCATATTTTTTATAAGTTTAACAAAGATATTCAACTCATATTCATTTTTCTGAGAAAGAATCAGACTATCCCTATAGAAAGCTCTTAGTTAATGTTCAATGGAGATTAGTATTGTTAGTCAATCTTATAATATCATTTGATGCTAGTTCTTGGACTTGATTTATGTTTGATATGAGCCAGATAAAGATTTTTGATTTCATGTACAATTTGATCAATATCAATTTGCTTTCCAAATTGATATTGATTTAGAGTAATGAACTTAGCAGTTAGGATATCTATATTTTGGTAAATATAGAATTAAGTCAGAAGAGACTTTACAATTGTTAGTTCTCACTATACTGTGCTTGTTCGCGAAACTTAGCACTGGCTAATATAAATGGTTTTTTTGAGTTACTTTTACAAAAATTAAATGAATTTTTAAAATATCAACAAAACTACTAAATGTGATCATATACTCGTATGTTGGGGTTTATTAGTTCGCATTATCGTGTTGAGATTATATATAGCAATGCTATAGCGTTTATTTGAATAATATAACATTTGATAATTGTTATTCACCGATTCTAAAAAAAAATTTAGAAATCATTTAAGTAAGATTTTATGGTATAAAATTTAACAAAATGAAAAACTAATGATATCAATTACATATTCTGCAAGTGTAAATATTGGGATATTGGGAATCGTTTTCAATATTAGTATATATATGCAGCACAAAAAGTACGTCACTAAACTGTTATAATAGATATAATGTATATAATGTCTTTGCAGCTTATATGAGTGATATATAAGCAAACTTTCATGCGCCCTACACTAATTTATCAGATAAACCATTGTAGATAGATCAGATAAAACATTACTTATAGATGTCATTACAAGTGCAATGCAAGTTTGTTACTAAACTCGTAATTCATTACAATCAGTGGCTTTAACAACCCGTGTTAGGCCTTAATCGAGGAAGATAAAGAGTCACCTTGACATACTTCTGTTTTTAACTGTCGCTTATCAGTTGTTGGTGAGTTGTTCTTCATTATCTTATTCCTCAAGATTTAATATTTATTTAAGTTGATGAAGGGGTATTATTATAAGGTATTACTATGGTATATTATTATTGATGCTCGCTGCGACACCTTACCAGTTGTTGGTGAGTTGTCTTCCATTATTCTTTTCCTCAAGATTCAATATTTAGTTAAGTTGTTAAAGGGTTTTTATTATTATGGCATTATAGTATTACTATTGTATTATTATTACTCTTCAACTAAAATTTATTAGAACTAGTCTACAACTCTTAAGACAGAAAAATATTAATTTGGAATTGATAAATGCAGTAATTATTCTTTTCTTAATGCAAATACTTCAGCATTCTCATTACAATATCATTTCTCTTCTTCTATATTTATTCTATTTGGAACATATGGATATCGTATTTCATTCAATATCTTTGTTCGTTGGTTCAGTACTTTCAAGTAAATTGAATTATTTTTTTTTTGCAGGTTCATCTAAGGATTCAAATGCAGCTGACAATGGAACTACAGATAACTTTGGATTCCAACAACAAAAACATGCTAATCCATTTGCTCTTAGTTAGTCTCATGAATCGTATTTCATTTAATGTCTCTGTTCGTTAATTCAGTACTTTCAAGTAAATTGAATTATTTTTTTTTTTGCAGGTTCATCTAAGGATTCAAATGCAGCTGACAATGGAACTACAGATAACTTCGGATTCCAACAACAAAAACGTGCTAATCCATTTGCTCTTAGTAGGTCTCATGAATCGTATTTCATTTAATGTCTCTGTTCGTTGATTCAGTACTCTCAAGTAAATTGAATTTATTTTTTTTTTTTTGCAGGTTCATCTAAGGATTCAAATGCAACTGACAATAGAACTACAAATATCTTCCAATCAAGAAGTATTGCTGTTCCATTTCGTCGTTAGTGTCATGAATCGTATTTCATTTAATATCTCTGTTCGTTGATTCAGTACTTTCAAGTAAATTGGATTTATTTTTTTTTTGCAGGTGGTTCATCTAAGGGTTCAAATGCAACTGACAATAGGACTACAAATATCTTCCAATCAACAAGAAGTGCTGTTCCTTTTGCTCTGGGTTAGTCTCATGAATCGTATTTCATTTAATATCTCTGTTCGTTGATTCAGTACTCTCAAGTAAATTGAATTTATTTTTTTGTTTTACAGGTGGTTTATCTAAGGATTCGAATGCAACTGGCAGTAAGTATTTAAAAGTATTTCAATGACCCAAAATTTAAAAATTTTTTTCATAGATTAAGATCGATTTGAATAACCAGTTCTAAAACAAATACATCCAAATCTGAGCCAATCGATATTATTTTTTATATTCTCTATCATAATAGTTAACTAAATTCTACATTAGAAGCAAATACACTGAAAAATTAAAAAGTTTGTCTAAAAAAAATCGTCGATTTGTATAACATAACATATATCTATTAAATTGAAATTATTAATTTTATTTAATTAAATATTTTAGAAATAAAGAAAGTTTTCTAACATAAATATGGGTTTGAATCGGCAGTGTATATGGCAGCTATTTTTAAATAGCAAAACAAAGCACAAAAAAAATTTTGTGTATTATCTTATATGAATATGTTTTTTCTATACCAAATTTTATTTAAATATATTTATTAAAAGTGGGGAAATGCTATGTTTAATTTTTCATGTCATATGGCAACTATAGGATGTACATGTTCATTTCCGCTAATCCGACTAATGGTTTAAATTCGAAACATTTGTGCCAAAATTTCATTAAAATCATACTGATTTTAACTAAAACTGATTGACAGATAGATGGATAGGGCTAAATGAACTCAACTCATCAAGCTTATAAGAAATATAAATACTTTATAGGGTATATGATGTTTAAATCCAGTGCAAAACTCTTGACAAACCTCATAAACAATTTTTGTGAAAAGTGTTTTGTAAACTAAAAGTCAATCATTTTTAAATAATTTTTCTGCTATAATACGAGTATCTATGAAAAATATATCTTTTGGTAATAATTCATTAAAGACAACTTACAGAATAGGTTAACATTCTGTTACTAATCGATTAGACGATATACAACAAACTAATCAAGTAAACACTTTATATACTGCATTTCCTTCTATTGATAAATGTGAAAGCATTTTATGCGAGTTTCTAAAATCTCAGTAAAGTAATTAAAGTGATAAATCCCTGACGAAACAATCTCAATCTTCTCAAATAGCCAAGCTGTCATTAAATCACTGGTAGGCACCACCGCTACATCAATTATAGCTCGAAATTACCGAGCTTCCCTTAACGACTTAGCTGATGCGTCAGAGTCTAACTCATATGGGCCCCTGGACATAGGGATACCTCGGGTAATTGCAGGGCGGACGAGGTTGTTACGGCAGGCACTCTTCTGCCTAACATTCACTTCTCAGATATGGGCATCCTACTTCTAATAATTAAACTGACAAACAAAATTGTCTGAACATAGCCAAGTCAAACAAAACAGACGAATTCTGCTGTCAGATTCCTAGTTTGAGCTGGTCTAAATTGAATAAAACATGTAACAATCAACTACTTCAACTAAAGTAGAATCTGCTCAATACTATGATATATGTGCCGACGGGCCACTGCATAATATATAGGCATGATATAAGACTGGGTGTATTCATGACTTCTATAATGTGACTCCTAACGCAAGTGGAATGTCTTGGACCGCCACTCCAACCAAAAATTATTTCTGCATATTATTTTCTAAATCTTTTAAAGAAAATTTTTAAAACCAATGTTTTAATATTATTTTCAACAACTTCAAAATTTCAAAATAAATTTTAAAAGCCTAGCTATTGAAAGATGTTTTTAGTATTTCAAGACGATCTATCATTCCGTAACAATTTATAATTTCTAGGCACATTTCTAAATTAATACAATTCAATCAGATGCGTTTACAAAAGACCATTTTGCATTTGCTACAATGAATTTTTTCAATTAATTAATTCATATGAGCTTATAACGAGTTTGGCAGTTTTCAAAACACCAAACATTCATCTCTCTTAAAATGAGTCTCCGTATAAGCCGCTATATTAACAATTATTTAATTTTGTTGTTATATATATATTTATATATATATTTCATACTAGTCTTATTCATTCATAATCATTAAATAACATTGTCCTAAAAGTATTAAAATTAATTGAATGAAGGAAGAGTACGAAAAAGCTTTAATTTTTAACATAAATTTAACTTCAAACAAATATCTTAAAAACTATCATAAAGCATTGGGCGTAAAAACAAAGTAATTTAATCTTCTTGAAACTATTTTTTTAAATATTTATAATTTTTAAACAGAAAATAATATAGTAACAACTACACCCAACAAGTTTTATCCTAACCCACCATCTCAGTAATATGGGATTGTCTAATAAGAGAGAATGTCACGATTCTATCATTTCATGTCTGAAAATATGAGAGAACATCCTCAGGATGAAGATATTGCAGCTACCTTGTAATTATCTACTACTCAACAAAAGATCTTTTGATATTCATTCAACAGATAAAATATTTTCCCATCAATTACGAAAGCCTTCAGTACAAAAAATGCTTTAAGGTTATAGTGCTCTGCCTTATTTGTAAACTATATTTCCTCAACTTTTGGACTATTTAATTGTCCACTGTAAGCGTAACGGCTATGTATAAGCCGCTACAAGTAGTTTTTTAACAGTTTTTATACATAAAGTTGGTATGCTGCATCACAGTTGGTGATCAGATGTTTCATAGACTCTTCCTCATCATAGCAGAATCTGCAAATATTTGTGTCGGATATACCTATTTTGTATAGGAAGTTATTAATAAATTTTACTTGGTAGTGGCGCTAATTGATATATTGAAGTTTTAAGTGTATGTGCAGCGCTATGACAATAATTCCAGAATGCGTTTTTTACGTTACTATTGTGATAAAGTCCAGATTGGTCCGGCGTTTCATTCAAAGTCTCTAGTTCTGAAGTTTCTCTGTAACACAAAAACTTATCACTTTGCATAAATAAAATAAAAACAAATAAATATTTTACTTTAAGTATTTCTCTACTTTCTTAATCTTCAATTAAATCTTCGCGCGTATATCGATAAGGTGATGCATAAGCGCTGTTATTGCTATAGTTGCTATTCTCAAGAGTATTAGGATTAGAAGAATTGATAAACGATTGATATTGCATTTGCTGCGAACTGAGATTTTGATGTATCGGAGAACCTTGCCTTCTGCTATGCAAATTAGACGTCGCTAAATTGCGTGCTATAATAAAATTAACAATGTTATCATTTTATTACAACATAAATATATTTAAATTTTTAATACAATCATTAAAGGATGAATGCCAGCTAAGGAAACTGCTGTCAATTGTTATTTCATTGCCATTATATTTCAAATTATCATTTATTTCATCTAATTCCCCAACAACAAATGATTTATCTAAATGAAAAGTATTAATTTCAAGAAAACAGAATATTTTAATTAGAACAGCCTAAACATACCATTTTCATCAAATTGTAACAAACGTTGTTGTTCCATTGTCCCACGAAGAGGCACAGTCGATAATATATAATATAAATATTTTCCCACGCAAATGATACCGCTTATGGCTACATATGTTGTTAAGGCATACTCAACCCAATACCATTTAGAACAAGCACGCGGACATTTAAATGATAAATCATAAAATAAAAGTGCAAATAATAATACATAGATGATGCTCCATTTAAGGCAATAATTGGCAGATTTAGCGCGCATTCGTTAATCCAATCCGTCCTGCAACATACCACTTTTTTTTACTGGGGAACTGAAAAATTTATTTTAATAAAAATGAATGAAAAAAAATAATTAATTACTATTAACCTCAATTCTTTTGTAACATTATTTTTTGTATATTTGTGAGATCCTGTGAGACTTCCACGCGAACGTAAGACCGGCGTATTCAGTTTTAATACAGGAAATAGTTTATCTGTGGTCTTAAACATGTTGCACTAACGATACAAAAATGTTATATAGAATTTAATTTGCTCTATGCATATATATGTGATTTAATTTTTAACTACTTTCAAACTTCATTACAATATAATATATTACTTTGAACTTTTATTTAATGCAATTGAAAACAATGTCAGTAGTCACGTACATTTTCGAAAAATTTAGTGCTACCAAATTTTCTTGACATTTCAGATCACTAATTGAACACACTCTGTCGAATAGTGAAATTTACGCTTACAGCATTTGGTTTGAATTTATTAATAAAATACATATATTATCTTATAAACATTTATTTATTAATAGACTTTTACATACTTATATTAAAAATATTATTTATTTAGTTTTACATATCAGTTTTATTAAAATTTTGCACATTGTGAGTGTAAATTAAAAACAAAATAATAACTTCACAACACTGGACATAATATAATTTGCGTATTTGGTTTAGTGCGGGAAACTACGAAACATTTGAGTCAGCAGTAAGTTAATGTTTATCTGCAAGAAGAGGAAGTAAAATAATGGAGGCTATTTCTGAACGCAATTTAGAAAAGTGGAATAATCTAAGGTAAATTTATTAAATATCTACTACAAATATTCTTAACTTAATGTATTACAGCGATTTCGATAAACTGGAATTTTTAAATCATCCACTCAACCCACCGGATTGTATATTTGTAGTTGGAATAGCAGAAAAAGAAATACAGCGTATACCATGTCATAAAAGAGTATTGATGGATGTATCTTCAGTTTTTGCTACAATGTTTGATGGAAAATACTTGGAGTCTGAGCCTAATTGCGAAATTCGCTTAGACGATGTAGAACCAATTGCATTCAAACAATTCAAACACTGTATTTATTACGGCAAAAAACCAATTTTAAACTCTCTAAATGATTGTCTGCAGTTGGCTTATTTAAGTCTAAAATATATGTTTGATTCATTCCTAAACGAGTGTCTTGCTGTGATAAAGGAGAGGATGCAAAATGTGACCATTTTGAATTTGGCAGAATTTTTTAATTCTCCACCTTTTATTACTCAACGCGATTTGATTCAGTCAATAAAGTTAACGAGAGAGAACAATGATTTGCTTCGAACTTCTCAGGTATACAATATACCTGCACCAAGATTTATAATGCTTATGGACAAACTTTCATCTCTACTTTCTAAATCAGAACTTTTCCAAATGGTTGAGAATTATGTTGAAAAAAATTATATGCTGAAACAGGCGAACAATATGGATTTGAATAACGGAAAATTTTCGTGTTTAGTTCAGCATATAATTGACACGCTATTGGCAAATATTAATATTTTAAATATGAGCGCAAAAGAATTCTGCGCTGGGCCATTGCACTGTTCTTTCATAGATACGCCCACAAAGCTGGACTTACTGGTATCAATAAGCAAAGGTATAGTGGAAAAAGGCATTGGCAAAAATAATACAACAATACATAATTGTCCAATTTGGACATAATAATGATCAGCCTAAATCTTGTATTTTAAATAATATATTTTAAATTATATATTTCATATTAATAATATTCTACTATTTTTGTTTTGTTGTCAAAGCAAATTTTTATTCTCATAATGTTAATGACTTGATGTCTTAGCCTGGAACGGTGGGTTAAGATATCAAAATTTATCATAACAACAACAACAGTTGTATATCACACGAGCACACTTTGCTCGTCATATGAAACTGCAGATAAGCCATGCATTTAGCATGTGCAATTCTTTAATATAGAACATTATGAGAAATTAAATTTGCTTGTGCAAGGTCAGTATTGTACTTATTAAATAATAATTATGTTTGTAAAGCAAGCTGGTATATGGACTTAGTTCAAGGTTAAAAGGAAATAAGTTTATAAGCATATACCAGGTTGCTAAGGAAATTACGCAAGTAATATTCTTTTTTGTCAATGCATACAATTTCCATGAGAACTGTGACCGTTCCCACAACTATGCTGAGCGATACCTAATCGCTACTTTAATGCAGCTTAAGGTATAGGGCATTATCGTGGGAATTGTATGCATTAACACCTTGCCAAATGTGTATAAAAACTCAACATTTTTCTAATAAATTTATCATTCAATACAGAACAGCCCTTGCGTTTTAATTAGTTCAAGTGCTTATTAAAACTCAATTGCAAATAGGTTCATGTGCCTAGTTGCTCAAAAAATATTGTTATTGTTTGAATCCACCTGAAGTTGGTTTAAGTGCCAAATTCATACCTTGCAATAGGAACTGGTTCAAGTGCCAGATTCCTAATCATAAGCAACACTGAATCGATTCAAGTGTCGATTCAGTTTCAATAAGAAACGACTTATTGAACAATAATCCTGCACAAAATCCATTCCCGATGTATAATTTCAATAAAAAAATTAATAAAATAAATAATGTAATAAAAAAATCTAAAAATTGAAGCATCCTTTTGGAATTTTTTTATTTTTATTAGCAAAGGTTTTTCAAAAACAACTGAACTTTTAATCCACTTCATTGTTCATTTCCTTGCTTGTGTTAAAAACATTACATAAGTTGTTTTACATAAGTGTCATGTATAAATGTGTAATATATATTTGTTATAAACATTCATATACATATAGACATTCATATATCATATATACATTCATATTAAGTTCGTTAATGTGTTCGAAATGTAGGAGATATCACAAAACATAAATCATATTTTTTATAAGTTTAACAAAGATATTCAACTCATATTCATTTTTCTGAGAAAGAATCAGACTATCCCTAAAGAAGGCTCTTAGTTAATGTTCAATAGAGATTAGTGTTGTTAATCAATCTTATAATATCATTTGATGCTAGTTCTTGGCCTTGATTTATGTTTGATATGACCCAGATGAAGAATTGCTTGTTGAAAACCAGTTATTAATTCCAAATTGATATTGGTTGAGGCTAATAAACTTAGCAGTTTTATTGTTGAATAAGCTATTGAGATAACCTTAGACAGTTAAGATTTACAAATAGTTTGTAAGGATCAAATTTTATGCTATAATTTAAACCCACAAATCGCATCGAGAGTAAATATAAACGGGAAATTTCATGTTTTTTAGTTATTATTTGGCAGCAAAATTGCCAAATCGTTCTATTTGGAATTTCTTTTGTTCAAGGTAAGTCGATTATGTTAGTGACAACAATGAGAGCTCGGACTAGTTAGTCTAAGCATATGATGGTTCGTTTGGCCTTTACTGACAAACACAATTTGAATGGCTGAACTGGTTTGGGTGAAGTGATGGTGGTCGAATTATCTTCTGCTTGGCTTATGCTGGCGTAGGGTAATTTCACCAGTTATCCAGACTTCCATTTGGCCATAGCTGATGGAGGAATGGATGACGAGTCACCGACACTGTTAAAAAACGTGTGAAGTCTACGAGCGTTTGGCGAATGCTGACAAGCGTGCCCAGGCGTAATATCGGGAAGGGATTTCCTGGCTACAGCTGACAAGGCCTGCATTGTATTGTTAGCGAGTTAACTCCAAGGTGTAGTTCTTTAAGCTATTTGGAATTTTTTCTGTTCAAGGTTTTACATTGCTGATTTCAACGATCCCAACATTTTTAACAATTTCAACGATTTCGACGATTACAACGCTTCCAACGCTTATGCTCTTGATTCTATTTCTACCTATAACTTTAAGGTTTTTTGTAAGACAAATAATAAATGTTATCATAAAACATAAAACACAAGTGTCTCCTTCTTTTATTATATTTATTTCTTATAACGAACCCTGGTATACTCGCTGAGTTATACCCCAGCTATAGAGAGGGTCGGAAAGGTCGTTACAAGTTTGCATTTAATATTTCTAATTAGTGATGCCACATAGTCCACTGAGGGATTATGTGTTCACTGATAATTTCCTTACATTCTTCTACTAATCTCGATGACAGACAGACTGCTGATAAAGCTTTAATAGCTCCCTAACTGTCAGTTAGAATGCAGACCTCTTTTCCGTGAAGGCGCATATTTAAAGCAAGAACACTTGCCCTAAGGATGGCAAAAACTTCAGCCAGAAATATTGAGGTGGAATCTGAAAGGTGGTATGATTCCGGCTCCAACGCCCTCATCCATTTTAGACCCGTCGGTGTACATCGCTATCTTGCCTGGAGTTGTAAGCAATCCCGCCTCCCAATCCCCTCTTGAAGGAATTTTGGTGGCGAAGTTATTGTCGAATAGAAACCGAGGACATAGGTAGTCTGAATCCCTGGCATCATCTATCGGATAGAGTGATACGATATTACCATGTCCTAAAGCACTCGAGCGCCAACAGTTTAGATCTTTAAGCCTCTGCGCGCTGAGAGTAGCAGCTTGCTTGATGTGAATATCAATAGGTAGCAAATTAAGTATGACATTGAGAGCACTGGTGGGGCAAGATCCTAGAGTCCCTGTAGCTCCCACACAGGCAGATCTTTGCATTCTGGTTAGTCTTTAAACAATGTACTCTTTGTTCAACGAAGGCCACCACACCAGACATCCATATGTTAATATTGGCCGAACGACGGCTGTGTAAAGCCAGAGAATCACTTTGGGCTGCAATCCCCAGCTCTTACCGTACATCCTTTTGCACGCATAGAATGCCACACAAGCTTTACGAATTCTTTCCTCGATATTGGCTTTCCAGTTAAGTTTTGTGTCAAGAATTACTCCTAGATACTTAACTTTGTGCGAAAGAGTTAATCTTTGGCCATTTAATCTTGGCAGCGGAAAGTTTGGAATTTTATATTTTTTGGTAAACAGTAACAGTACTGTCTTAGAAGGATTAACACCTACGTCACACTTTGAGGCCCATTTACTAAGGTTCAGAAAAGCGCCCTCCATGATGCTACTCAGCACCGAAGGGAACATGCCTGTTACCAGAAGGACAACATCATCCGCATACGCTACTGCTTTGTCTCCACCCTGGCTAAGCCTTAAAAGCAGTGAGTTCATTGTTAAAATCCATAATGGTGGTAGTAGGGGTAGGTGGTGTACCCCTACTAACGCATATCTTAATGCTAAGATTGCCCATCTCTGCATTGATGATTCTAAACCCAAGCATAGAAGGAATTGATGTTAATTAAATAACAATATTGTTAAGATATCATATGCTGGTAAATATAGAATTGTGTCAGAAATAAATATAATATATATAATGTTTTTGCGGGTTATGTGTGTGAAATATAAGCAAGCTTTCATGGGTCCTACACTAATTCATCAAATAAATCTAGAAGTGATAAATTATTATTATCAGTGGATTTAAAAACCCGAGTCAGTCCTTAATCGAGAAAGACAAGGAGTCACATTCACATACTTCTATTCCTAACTATTACATACGAGTTGTTGGTGAGTTATTGTTCATTATCTTATTCCTAAAGATAAAGGAATATAAAATAAATTATATTTAGAAATAACTGATCCAGTTATTATTATTTCCTTATTAAAAAAACTAAAATTTGAAATATAGTATATAGTATATAGATATGCATATTTACGTGTAAATATTTTAAAGTATAAATTAATGATATACTTAATCTTTATCACTGGTACGTCATAATATAAAGAAATACATTAAAATATTTGTAAAAAAGAAATATTTACAACTTTCTTCGGTTTTTCAAAGTCACACAAAAACTTTATAAACAATAAGTGCATTAAAGGTAAAATTCTGGAACGAGCTTATGAGTATATGTCTTAAAAAGCATTTGAATAATCTTTCTCAAACTAGAAACTATGTTGGCATACTTCCGTGATATGGTTAGTTGTTTGGTTACAGTAGTAATTCAGCAGATATTCTTTCGCTATCCATAATTAGCATAATTAACCTAAAATGAAAACTCGCAAGATAGCTAAAGAGAAAAAAGAAAAACTAAATCCATTGTGTTGAATTTAGGCAATTTGACAGGTCCTTTTTTTTATTAAGAAACAGTCTGACAAACATTCAAGAAAGTAATTCCCTTAAAACCTGCTTCATCTGAAAGCCACAGCTAAACAGTCAAAGAAAAAATGCTTTATTTTTCTTTTCCATAAGCTTCCACAATTTCTACAGCGTGTTTTGAAGGGAATGTGTTGACTTTGGTCATTCATATCACCGAAACCATGGTTACCAATGACATGATTAAAGTATTCATATTTTGTCCCGATTCTAGCGTTGAAATCTCTCATTATAAATTTGAAATCTTTTTTCGACAATTCAAGTAGTATATCGCTGAACCTGTCATGCAAACCCACTTTTACGTTTTCCTCAGTATCTTTAGTTGATCCTTAGCATTAAATCGTTAATAAGATTTTACTACATACATCAATGTCCTTGTCAATATACGTAAATTTACGAACTTGAAATCCCCTATGTACACTTCTTCATTCTTGTCGCCAGTTTGTTTGCACTGTAAAGCGGTTTTACTATATAAATTATAAATCTTATTCCATTTTCACTGCCTTGTTTTCGTTATAAAATTTGGATTTCATTCTTCTTTATGGACTTTCGGAAAATCATTTATTTAAGTTCAGGTACGATGAGCGTTTTTACTAAATAAATTATAAATCTTATTCCATTTTCACTGCCTTGTTTTCGTTATAAAATTTGGATTCCATTCTTCTTTATGGACTTTCGGATAATCATTTATTTAAGTTCAGGTACGATGAGAGATCAGTCAATCGACAAAGAGGTGTGGCATGTTATGAAATTTAGTAAGACATATGTTTGCGGATAAATTATAAATGGTTGCATTCAACTTTTGCATTTTCATGCAAAGGACTCATTACGCCAACCCTGAGACGACTCGATCTCGGTAATTTATAATAACAAGTTCGCCACTTGATATTTTACTTGGCGACTAAACGGAATAAAATAAGTTCAAATTTTGAAAATAAATTATGAAATTTTTCATAAAATTTCTAATGACATTTGAATAATATATATATATAATATAACAAATGAACACTCCTTACCCCGCGACGACATTATGTATTTGAAAAGAAACCACTAACACAGCAATATAATCAATAATATTTTCTTGCTATTTGTCTCCATTTTTATTGAATTTTTTACTTTAATTAGTAAAATTGAATTATTATTAAATTATTATTTTAATATTGATATTTATAAATAAGTTGCGTTCTTCTTGTGATTAAATATTGAAAAGTAAAATTACACATTAATTAGCAATATTCTTGACATTACTGTAACATTTCTAATTATGTATATATGCTATAGGTATATACCATAATTACATATATAATTTTTTTATTTACCAATAAATATGTATATAAATATGTACACTAAATCATCAACATTTATTTAATACTCGTAATAAATAAGTTTCGTTTTAATTCAATTTTTTTTAATTTTAAAAATTTTTTGATTTTTTTTTTTTGGCTAAAAAACCAGACAATAATTGACTGGATATGCTAACTTCTTTCCCATTGCACCTACTAAAATTAATTAATTTGTAATAATTTATAATTTAATTCAAAATTTATTTAATGAAATTAAAATTCACATAAGCAGTAAATAAATTAATTAAAAAAAATTTTTATTAATTAAATTAAAGTTTTAGAGGCTTTCACACATTTTTTTCTGATTTTAAAAATAATTGAATTTTTAATTGAATTTTATTATTACTTTTTTAATTAATTATTTATATTTTCATTGTGTGTAAATATTTTTTTTTTGCAAATTTACTAATATTAAATGTAGTCATAGTATTTTTTTTAAGTTTTTGCGCTCATTTTCCCACTACAATGCTCGGTGCAATTTTTCTTAAATTTGTTTTTAAGTATATTATTTTTTTCTTTTGTAAATATTCGTGTGATAATTATTTATAGTGCTTTAAATTTTACATTATTTTAATAATTGTTTCTTAATTTCATACTAAACTACTAACAAACTAGCGTTCTGTCTATATCAATTGCCTTTGAAGATTTGCTTTAGTTCATATCCATCATTTGTGGTGATCGCTTACCCCAGCCAGCATGCAATTTCTGCCAATCCTTGTTTGCGCGTTTGCCCCACATGCCTTTAAGGTTATTCCAGCCAGGTTCACGTTTACCCCAAGCACCTTAAATAAAAAATATTTATTCATTAAAATAAAATATATAAATGCACGCCTTAAATATTAACCTCTAAACTTATTCCATGCTGGTGCATTACGACGTTTTCCCCAAGCCACATTCATATTCTTCCAAGTACGTTTTTCATTCAAAAAGCCATCATTCTCTTCTGAGTCATTCATTAAACCTGTTTCTTCCATTTGTCCCTGGTTGTTCAAGCGATCTAAAATTGCTGCATTTGTCAAATAAATTAAAGTGTACTTCATGAGTGGATCCGTATTATCGTTGCCGTCTAAGAGCACTGGCAACCAACGCTCCGCTAAAAATACTTCATCTTCAGCATCATTGCGATTTGACTCGGAAATGGACCGCTTTCCCCATGATCCTTGCAACGATTGCCAAGCACGTTTTTCGGCTTCATTTACATTTTCGACAATTTCATTTCCCAAATTCCCATTGTTGAGATTTTCATGGAGTGCCAAATCTGGTGGAAGGGTAGCACATGTTGCTACTGCAGCTATTAAGAGTTGCGCCAGAAAAACTAAAATGCTACATTTAGTTAAGTGTTTATAGCTTGAATTTAAATGAAGTTTAGGCATTTTTGCTTTTGGTTATATGAGGAGCTGGAAAATAAATTAAATAATTATTTATACATAAAAGAAGAAAATTATAATATTATTTTGTTATAAATTTGATATATAATATCTAATATCTGGCACCAATAAACAAGCACAAACTGTCGGTGATGGTTAGATTAAGTCTTGTCATATAAATACTTTTTAATTATAATATGTAACACATCGGGTGATAGTGATTCACTGGCAGTACCACTAAAGAAAAATTCATATAAATTTTAAAAAGTGGCAACTTTCAAATAATAGTCCATTTTATCACATTTGAAAGATTACTCATTTAGTTACAGTTTTAAAGTCTTAGTCCTGATTTATCATTGCTGTTATCCGGGTTCTACTCCATCGAGAAAATGGTGAAAAAGTGATGCCCATAAAAATATCAAAAAATGCGATGACACTGGAAAATATTTAAAAAATTCGACAAAATCGTTTTCCCCAACCGTTAAGTGAAATTACAAAAGACACATTTTTAAGATCTTAAAGAAATATGTCCGCTTCATTTTGGATGAGTATTTCTCAATTAGAAAGCTTTTTTCAAAATGGGTGCAGCGTCTGCTAACAGTTGGACATAAACATTAACGTGTCAAGCTGTTAAAGTGAGTTAAAAAATTTTTTTTCATCGGTATGTACCAATGGATGAAACTTAGTTCTACCACTTCTGTACAGAGTTAAATCGGCAGTCAGCGGATTTAGCCAAAAACACAACAGATAGATGGCAAGGTTATGGGGTCGATATTTTGAAATTTGTTCATGGATTACCTCGAAAAAGGACATATCATTATTGATGATTTCTACATCGCTCAACTGGTGCCAGTTGTTTGAAGAAGGAAATTGCGAAACAACGTCCCGATATGAAAAAGAAAAAGTTTTCTTGCATCACAACAATGCCCCGTGTCACAAGTCGTTGACTACCATGACCAAATTATACGAAGTACAGTTCAAATTGTTTTCGCACTCATCGCGTATTCACGAAATTTAGCTTCCACCGGTTCGTAGAGTTTAAAAATATGCTCCAAAGAAAGAAATATGACTTTGATAAAAAAGTTATAAGGAAACTGTGATACTTTTGAAGACCTAAGATGAATCATTCTTCAGAATAGGCATCGAAATGTTTTGCGATTTTTGATTGTTAAATCTGGATCAACTTTTTCAACTGAGATTCTCTTTTAGTGTAACTTTCATTTTTAATATCTAAATCTCGAACGAAATGTATAACACTCGAGATTAACTTTTAGATATTTTGCCAGAGTAGCAAGATTTGCCTGAAATCAACAGCTGTTTTATATAAGTTGAAGTTGTATTTATGAAGTATATGAACGTCTACTAATATAACGACAAAAATATTAGATTACTCTAAAAAACTTCAATAAGGCAACAATAATTAATTTTATAGGCATAATTCTATTCATCTTGAAGTAGACTACATTGATAAATAAATTTGATTTTCCCCAAAAAGTTCTTGTTTTATTGGTTATCCTAAGGAGTTATCAGCCTAATCTGACTAATCTTAGAATATGACTAATCTCAGTTTAGATAACATTTAATATAAGATTAAGATTACTGATGATGGATAATGGAAAAAGTACTTGTTTTATTGGTTATCCTAAGGAGTTATCAGCCGACGTGTGACTAATCTTAGAATATGACTAATGTCAGTTTTGATAACATTTAATATAAGATTAAGATTACTGATGATGGATATTTGACAATATCTGAAACGGTGGTATGTTCAACTCAAGAATTCACTTTATTCACTTCATATCAAATATTTCTTGTAGATTTGAAAATTTCATCACTATTACTATCTTTTTCTATTCGAAATAGATTTCATGTAATAGAGCATTATATTCTTATATTAAATTAATGTACTTTTTAGTTATGTTTAATGATTTAAAGGTTATCCTTTAAAAAAGACCGCTGTATAAAATGTATATATAAAATTCTGTTAAAAAATTTAACTATCTGGGAAATAATAGAATAATAAAATAAAATGCATTATGTCTTCAATATTAATCCTAAACAAAACTGACGTCTTTAATTAAGAACAAATATGAAATGTTCTAATTTCAGTTATGATTAAACAGAACACACACTATCTATGCGTATTTGTGTAATACACACTTGTGTCAATAAATGTCAATATTTTAACACAAACTACACTCAAAGGTTCTTCACGTATTTGCACAGCTAGAGAAATATGAAACAAAAAATAAATAAATGAAATAAAATAAACTAGGAAGAAATCAAGAGTCAATTAAGGCATTTAACCGACACTCTTCCCAGGGGAAAAACTTAAATTCATAAAAATCATTTCCGCTCATTGATACCACTGCGGTTGCACTAACAAACCAACCAATAACAATAACCTACTACCCACACAACGGAACACTAACAACATCTAACAACCTAATTGAAAAGGATCACACGGGGAATATTTCACTTACTTCTCTGCCTTAAACAATTTTAACTCATGCCGGTATGCCAACGGCTATGGCCTAAGGTTTAAAAGGTATCCATAACTGCTTGAAATTATGGCCTATAAATGTACTCGCATACGCACGCTGGCATTTATGGCCACCTACCAATCCGCATCCAAGCATGCTCACTGTGTTAATGGCCACCGCAATGCGTGTCATGGGCGCAAAGTGACAAGGTACATCAAGCAATGGAGAGTATCTCAAGTAATGTTCGAATGTATGCAAAAAACAAAATATAACAAAACAAAAACAAAAACAAAAATTAAAATGTAAATTAAAAGAACAAGAAAGTAGTTAAGTATTTAAATTGGTTGAACTGTGTTCCGTTGGCGTTTTAAGTGCTAATAATCTTCAGTGCGGTCTGAGAAATTCATCATACGCCACGTTGTGCCTGTGATAGCCATTCGTTTTAGGTTTGTATATATTGTACATATACAATTTTATTTTTTGCTTTATTTACATAAATATTTATACGCCTCTGAAGTGTGTATATGAAAGGTTACGTACTAAATTTTTATTATGTATTTTCCCTGTTCAATATTCATCGATTTGCGCTTTAATCTTTTATGGTGCATTATGAATTTAATGGCTGCCTAAGGATGTGCTCTATTAACGAAAATTAACAAAGTTCTTTCCCTAATGCGTATTAATTTGTAATTATATTATTAGTATAACTAATTTTTTTGATTATTAATTATTATTAATTAATAACTAATTAACCGTGTAATATAATTAAAAATGTTTGCTTTGAAAAAAATTTTTTATTAGAAGATGATTACTTTTAGTATTGTAATAATAGGAGAACAGACAGAGCCCTAAAATTATTCACAAAAATTGATACGTTGCTCAACCCCGCCCTAACAAACCTTAAGTCCACCTCAGGACGCACAGAAAGATATGCTGAACTACGGTCCATCATCAGTTGGAAGATAAATAAATGATAGTGATTCTAGTATAATTCAAGTTTAGTGTGGGGCAGGAATAAGCCCCCCAGCCACAAAAGAGTATAAGTGCGCAATAGCACTAACTCAAATCACAACAACAACACAATAAAAATCAAAGTGATGTATACCTATCTTAACGCTAGTATAAAAATTTAAAAGTGAATGAAGAAATAATTCTGTCTTTTTTATATATAAACGAGTTTTTATATTTTATCTTAATTTATTCATTGCGGTCTCAACCCGAAGATGATACTTTGGATATATTAGTCAGTAGTACGTCCTATCATAACATAAGGTTGTCTAGTCTGGTGGTAAAAGGTCACACGGGCTGGATCTATTACTATTTGCACGAAGCTTCAAAGCTCGTGGTGTGAGGACTGTAGTACTTAAGGATCCATTTAAGTTGACACCACATACATATTTAATCTACGTCTGCGCTTAGTGTGCTCCGATTAAAAATCTACATTAGCAAAGTTTTTCCTAACTATTGTCAATGAATATTATTAAAAACATTCGGAGCACATGGAGACTATATAACAGAAATCCATCGCTTTGGCAGAAAATTTGAGGTACACTTACCATCATGTTCAACGTGGGAAAATAGAGGCTCACATTTTGACCCAAAAAGTTTGGTTTGGTACACAGATGGATCAAAAATGGATGGAGGTACTGGTGCTGAAGTATATGGACCCAACACCAGAATTTCAGCGGCAATATCCGTATGGCCAAATGTCTCCCAATCTAAAATTCACGCAATCAACTTATGCGTAAGATCCAATATCATCAAAAAACTGTCTGGCAGTTCAGTATCGTCTTATAAAACTAAACTGGGAACGTAGTGTCAAGTACCACGTTATGGAAATGTCTTCAATGCAAATAAATTTGTGAATTGTAAAAAACCCTCTTAGCACAATCCTGTAGAAAATGCTTGTTTGACCCAGAACCCATAAACTCCATACTTATTTCGGCCCAAAATGTTCAATTTTGATGGACGAATGAAAAGGCTAGAAATTTCTATATTGAAACAATATAATTTCTGTATATTAAATATGTGTTGAAGAAATCCATATAGTCAATCAACCATCGTAACTAGTAGTGACACGTAGTGTTTTAAGAAGAACAATATTAAGACAGTGTTGTCGGGTTTCTTCAATTAAAAGAATATTGTTCATTATGAATTGACTTCAAAAGATCAGACGGTAAAAACAGAACATTTTCTAGGAATTCTGCCACAATTCTATACTTGATAACTTGGGCGCAAAAATAGAGCTCCACGTACTTTGTTACTGTTGTACGAGAACACACTATCACATATAATAATCATAGTACTTGAACTCATAATCAAGAAACACACTGTCATGGAAAATTAAGATTATTCACTTGATTTGAATGCGTGTGACTCCCAGCTCTTTCAAAATTATTCATAAAATAATTTCAATATCATCGCAGTTATCTAATAGACTTCTATCGACAAAACTACAGGGAAATCTAGCTAAAGTGTTTGGAACTGTTTCATAAAATCCATTGATCGCTTCCAACGTTGCGTTAATCGCGAAGGAGACTAGTTTGA